CTGGTATGGCATGTCACTGACCCAGGTTCGCCGGTAAATTGTTTGTGATGAGATCTTTAGTCGAACATGGCTTGTGACAGCACCTAAATTGCGTCGAAAGCTCCAAGTCAGTAACTCACGAAGTTCTGATAGCGGGCTTTTCAGAGCTCAGCCGAATCGACAACACCAGCGATGCCGCAAAACTGGACAGTACCGCCATTAGTTCCAGAAATTGTGAAGCAATTACTTGTTACTGCGTTAACTCATAAGATACATCAAACGAAACTTGCAATCATGAAGCTGAAAATTGAGCCAGGCTTGCATTTCAAATATTTTCTCAAAAAATAACGTTTCAGAAGATTCTGGTAAAAGAGTAATTGAACTGAAGTTCAGTTACTTTTTTCCTGAACTTTCTGATCTGATTTGATAACAGTTGTTAGGCGGCCATTAAAGGAACTCTTCCTGTGCTTAACCGAGAAAAGCGCAAAAGCTTGAGCATCATTGGAAGAATACATAACTATGGTATGCATAAGAAAAAAACTGGTTTCTTGCAGATTGCGCGTCCGATTTGTCTCAGACGCTGAACACTGCAGAAGCTTACATCAATGGAAATCTTACTAATTGGGATATTGCTTACCTGAAAAATGCACTGATCCCGAGTTAGCTTTTCACTTCTCAAATTACTTGGACAGGCACTCAGTACCGCTGAGGTAGATGCTTTATGTCCCGAGCTCAGCTATATTGTGCACTACGTGCGTGCACTCTGTGCACCCAAGTTGTTTTCCTTCACCACATGTGCAAACACCATTTCTGTTTACGTGTGATGGATTTCTGTCTTATGAATACCTTTTACTGACATGTGTCCTTTCAGCTTTAGCAATTTATGTTTTTCATGCGTTTTTGCTGTGCAGCGTTACAGCGCTGTCACAGTCAGAAAAAACCCATATTGTCGGGAGGCTGAGTGTGTGTGTTCGAGAGCGAGTGCTTTTTGTCACCCACTTTCATCTCAGCAACCAGGAAAGCTGGGAGGCTGGCTTCGGATATATGTTCCTACCCCGTGTATCATCCTCCCGTTTTAAGATCTTCCCCCATACGCGCCTTAATTTGGATATATGTTCCTACCCCGTGTGTCATCCTCCCGTTTTAAGATCTTTCCCCATACGCGCCTAGACCTCGCGTACGGGACCCCCAAAAAAATATGTTGGCGGGAAGTGATGTCGCGAACCAGGCAAGGTAGAAAGTTGAAACTTTGCAAGGATATTCTCTATGTACGTGCGAGCTAAAGATTTTAAACTCAGCTGTCGAGCCCCCAACCACAGCCTCAAGCAGCCTCTCAACCCAAAAATCGCTCGCAACTCGGGCCTGAATCGCAATCGTATGTGTAAATGAACATGGATTTT